GTATCGCTATTTTTTTTTTTGCTTTGAACGTGTTCCGACGAGTGTAGACCGATGCTCGAGACTTTGAATTCGCAAGTAGTTTGAACGTAGTGCTTTGGAGACCTTGTTAGATATTGAAACTGGGTCTTCAGTCCTGTATGAATATCACTTTTTTAAATAACTGAGATTTTTGCGTGAGATCTACTCGGGATACCACTGTGAAGACTCGGGTACACGTGCACCAAGTAATTTAATGTTATATAGTACATTATTGATATTCGTATGTTGCGAGCGTTTAACTAGTATGGAAATTATATTGGTCAACGAGAAGTAAGATAGCTGCGATGATAGGAAAAGATGACATTGAAATTATATAGAGGTCCATTGGAAAGCCTCAGTGCTAGTGTATCTAGATGCTTCAAGTTATCTATTTTTAAAACGAAGCACCGTATGCAAAACATTGTTGACTTCTAACGAATATTTTAATGGGAAATATACTGTATACAGCTATAGTTTACAAAATTTAAGTATTCCTCTTCACAAGGCATCTATAATCATCGAATTCATAAAAGGAAACCGTTAATTACCGAAAATCGCAACATCAAGGCAACAAAGATCATCTGAAAATGCATGAAACTATTCAAAAAATGAAACTCTGCCTTCCATACAACGAAAGAACCAACGAAACCGTTGCTGCCGTACGAAACAACGTCGACAAGCCGAATCACGACGCACGGAACACGTCACACCGACAAATTCCCGCAACCACGAATCCCGCGCGCAGAGCCCCGCGCCGGTAATCGTTCGAATACTACTAGCAGTTTGAAATTCATTGCGTACCCCTCGCTACAGGTCACGGACGTCATTAATTTACGTCTATGTAACCCATTTTAACGCCTGTGCCCCAAACGGAAAGAGCGGTCGTGCCTGCTATCCCCTAAACCGCTGGAAACCACGACCGAGAAGATCCAGGCGGCTCGAGGCAAGAAATCATCTAGATCATTCTACTTCGTGGCCTCCGCAGAAAGAAACCCGATTACAACGCTTTTCGATTAAAAATATTAACATCGACATATTCACGTTAACGTTAGATTCATAGGTATTGAACGTTTCGAACATTATTCAGTAACAGTTTCAATCGATTGATTCGATTATGCGAATAGATATTGCAATACTCTAGGTTTGAAGCTACAATTTCCGCGATTGACTTATAAAATGATATAATTCAATGAATAAATAATAAAACAAAACATTTACTCCATTCCTCTAAAAATTTCAATTGCACTCTTCACGTTTACTCGCACTAAACCGCAGTTCCCGCGAGTCTTCATTCACGTAATATTTCCAAAAATCTACAAGTGTCCCATGACCTTCGCCCTTTACTCGACTGCGTTCGAGTAGAAACTTCTCGCCGCTGGTAAATAGCCGGCGACCTAGTAATGATCACGGGGAGGGTGAAGAAAAAAAAAGAAACTTTCGTTCCACTCACCATCCCAGCTTCTTCCACTTCCGGTCCTCGGCGACGTCGAGGAAGGTCGGGGCCGGATAGCAGACCGCGGAAATCGGCTGCGAGGAGCACGGCAAGGCCAGGGCGAACTGGGGTGGCCGGTGAACGCGGGAGGGTGAGCTGCTGCTGTGTCTAGACAGCGTTTCCGGCGAAACGATCACCGCGGACGGCGAAGCCGGCGACGGCAACGCGGCCGGCAGTCCTGGCCAGCTGGAACAGACGTCGGTGTTTCCTCATTATTTCTATCCTGTCCTTGGCCGATCGATTCGTCGGTATCGGGCCCGGGCTCAATTACCGGGATAATTACGAGCGACGACGAAGCTCGGCCTAGGGGCACCTGACTGCTCGGTCGCGTCGATAAAGCGATACTTTCCCTGCCCCCCTTAACTATTTGCGGACGGAGAGTCTTGAAAGTACAGGAAGCTTGCAACGTACGAAGGTGAATTATACATCGAATGCTTAACAATAGAACTAGGTACCAGTCGAAATGACTGGTTTCGATTGTCTTGTTTCACAATTATTGATATCTTAGACGCATTGAATATTCGAAATGATGGAAATAAATAGCTTTGACTTAGAAGCATTGAGTATTCGAAATGATCTTGGAAATAAATAGCTTCGACTTGTATACTATAATGAATGTCTGAAGAAACCAGAAATAATCTATTGTTAGAATTTTTACAGGGATTGTTTAACATTATTATGCAGAGTGAATTAGAAATGATATAAAATGATAATTGTACACAATAGTAGGATTATTCAATTGCTGCAGTTTGGTGTTTAGGGTAAGCGCAGTGGAATTACTATCTAGGATTCTTCGTATTCATTTTTTAGACTATTAATCTACTCGAGATTTAACTTTCGAGGCGTAACGCCCGAGTTCTTTATCGTTAGACAGTAGGAAGCTGGAAAGTTCCGAGTTAACGAGGACTCGAGGAACGTTTCTTGAGATAGTTAGATTTATGCGTACTTGATTGAATCATTTGCATTCAGAGCCATTTGCGCTCGCTTGTAACTCGTTAATGTGACCGGGTAGATAATTGTACGGTCATTAGTAGATCGCGGAGCTTTATGCATTTATGCATTATGATCCCGAAAAAGATGAATTGCAATGCAATTCCATGAACATTAACGTCATCCTTATGCTACTACAGCTACGTTCGCAGGAAATAAAATTGTATTACAATCCACTCTCTTCAGATCAGAATCTACTCGTTACGAATGTGAATGATTACCATCTCCAAAACAGACTTCCTGTGTAAACATCTTTGCCACGAATAAATTCTAATCCTGCTATACAATATCTATCATTTCTCTATGTACACACATGTATCACCAAAAGAAATTGCTTATGTTGAAATGAAATAGCGATCAATCGCAAACACAACGGAAGCCAATTGCAAATGCGCCTTACGAACTCCCCAGAAGCCAATACCCTAGCCAACAAAACCCGAATTCCATCTAAAATCTCTATTCGCGATCAGAGCATTCACCGCCCTCCCAATTTCTCCAAATTCAATCACTTTCACTGAATACGGTACTCGGTTACTCTGCCGGTGGCTCGATGAATCCACTCCTCGATTGGACTCGGCGCGATTCAATCGGGAACCGCTCGAACATTCCACGTACTCGAATAACTCTAATTAAATAAGGACCTTAGCACCGCCTCGAGTGTCCCGAATTTAATTGTTCCCCTGATCCCCGATCGCTGGTCGAATTCTTCGGGCATCGGAAGACGTTTCGATTTTCGGGGACCGGAGGAACGATCATCTAAAGGTGTGAAAACAGTTGTAAGCAATTTGACACAATTTTTCCTTATAGCGACTGTTATAGTGTGTGGATACACTTGGGATTGCTGATAGCAAATTCTCTTGTGATAGTGATAGATTGAAGTATCATATGTGACACGTTCCTTCGATTTCCCGATGAAATCGGAGTTTCATTTAATAATTAGACGAGTTAAAATGGCTCATTTCTGCTTTCTTCTTTTTGTAATGATCAAAAGGATAACATGTTTCTCTGAGAAGTCGTTAAAGAAATTGATTTATACACGAAATGAATTATAGATCAATTAAGTCTCGATAGATGCATTCTTAGAGTTTGTATAAAGAAATTTCAAGAAGTCAATTGAACTCGGTAGTTTTATTGTTAATACGAGAGCTACCGAGTCAAATTGATTTTGAAAATTAGTCTATAGACGATCTAAGAATCTATTGAAATTCCAGTTGATTTACAATTCAGTTTCCGTATTAATGAACTGATTCAGTAGTTCCTCAAGAGAAGCGTCTGTTACCTCTTCAATAATCGTAAAGGAATTCAGAATTGAATGATCAATTGTTCTAATGTCATGATCAATGTCATCGAACCATCCGATAATTCCAGTGTTAAAATACTGTCCAAATTATCATTGTTATTAACAACGATCCGTCACTTTTCCGAGAATCTACAAACACCAAGTTAAAAGTTGAACGCCTCCGATGAAACGAATCCGCCTAGTCGACTTAAGCTCGTCGGAAAGAACTTTTTTACCGCGTCCAACAAAACGAAAGTGCGAACACTTCTGCAGATAGCCGTTAGATAAAAATGTCGCTAATTTCTTGCCAGCGTATCAGCACGTTAACTCGTGTCGATGCGAGTTCGCGTCGCGCAGCGGGCCACCAGTAATTCGTTTAAGAGAGTTTCCGCTGGCGGCTCGCCCATCGGAGATACGCTTAAGCCGGTTACTAGCAACTTCGGAGCCGTGAAACTGGCTGCCGTTGCATCGCGAGAGGCGCCAGTCGCGACTCGTTAAATCGCCGGGAAAACTTCATCGTCCCTTGTCGGGACGCCGCGCTGAAAGTGGCATTCCCGTGGATCCGCGAGTCGAACTTTGTTACCGCGACATTCGCGCGGAACGATCGGTTCCGATCGAGGAATTAATTAACGGTTGATTCAGCAATTGATTGGATATTTCCATTGGAACTCGGTGTGTCGAAGAGTGCAAGTGTGAATATTGTATGGTTGAAACGTGTCAGTGAGAAATATGATAAGCTTATGAATGCTTATAAGTGCAACTCTTATGGTAAATTTATTATTACCAACGTGTGGCTTTTGTGGTGTGAAGACGTTGGTAAAGTGATTCTGGTAAGTTTTAATAGGAAAGGAATTATACGTTAAAGAGATGAACAAAAGCAATGTTTTCTGTTAATTGATTCTTAGAGTTCAATCGAGATTTTATAGAAATTGCTATATTTTTTATTTATAATACTAAGAATATAGGATGGTCATTATCGTCATTTGCGTCTACATTCACGAGCATGGACGCCTACAGGCAGCATTCACGTCAACGCGTTAAAAGCGAGGCACTAGAGATTAGTATAAAATATTATTCTATGACCGTTGCCATTCTGCGTGCGAAATTCGTGATTCTTCAGACTGACGACTTCCATAAATCCGGCGTTAAAGTGGGAGATGAAGAGAAGGGAAAATTTTCCGGCCAGTTTCCGTGCGTCGCGACATTTTTTAATGAAACCACGCTCGCGGGATCAGCGAGCCGCGACAGTCGGTCGTTTAACGTCTGCTTTCTCCCCGGGCCGGGAGTCGCGAGTAATTAAAGGGCGTAACTTTTTTAATTCTCCCGATTATTCGCCCCGGCCATCTGTCCCCGGCCATTCGGCGCGTCGCGTTTCACCCCCGGACCAGAATTTTTTTGTGAGTCCTCCAGCTCGCGAGGAGCGAGCCCGCCTCTTCGCGATTCCGGCGAGAGGAACGGTGAATGCAAAGTGTGTCACTGATGCAAACCATTCCTTGAAATCCAATGTTTCGCTTTAATTCACCGCGCGAGCCTCGAGTGGCTCGTTTCATCTGAGAGCCCGCCGCAATTAGGAAACTTTTCATGGAAATCTGAGCGGTGAGTCGCGTGTTTACGGAGCCCTCGTTAATTCGGGTGTATTAACTTCCAGGTAATAATCGATGCATCTGTATGACAATCGAAAGAGGAGGTAACGACTGTATTCTGATTATTTTCAGTTCAAAGCTCAATCAGGTTATTTCGCAATATTAGAGGAAAACATTACATTTTTATAATTCTGTTGAAACTGAGGTTCATGTTTGTGTTAAGTATATATACAAACCACTTATCACTGAAATTACAAAAGTGAAAACTTCAAAGTTAACCCTTTGAACTCGGAAGTATTTCGTTAGAAATATTTAACATTTTCTAACTAGACACTGACGATATTTTTTTAAATTAACTCAAAGGAACATTCAAAGGGTATTGAGAAACAAAGCTTCTTATCCCAATATTTCACATACCGATGCATTATATACAGTTGAATATTGATATCAAATTTTATAATTTTACTACATGAAATCAAGTGGTGACAGAGTCACCTCTCGAGTGCAAAGAGTTAAGGATAAGAAACCTATATAGTACAACATACGAGAGACTAAAAAGTCTTCATACTCAAAATCGCGAAATAATCAACAAACAATTAGCCATACCATATTCCCTGCTCAATTCTAAAAACTGCACATTCCAATCTAAAAAATGTGACAATAATCACCCACTGATATCCTTGTAAATAACCCATTATTGTAAATCATGTGACGCAGGTTTCTGTGTACCCTTCTTTCCAAATTCGAGTTAAACTATCCAACAATTTTGAAAATCTGAATATTTACAACGCAAGAACATTATTATATCCTTCACCTGTATAAAATGTACATTCACGTTTCAACTGGAAATTCAATAGAACCATATACGCAGAAGACATAGGCGTATCGAAAGGATTAATCTCGTTCCGGCGAAGGAAGAACGAGAACGATTCTCCGGTGGCAAATGAAACTTCAGCAAAATCGACGTCCAATTTCGCGTCGCCCTCCATTCGTTCTCGCAGTGTCAGCGGTGTGTCGCGAAGTTTCGGCCGACCCGAGGGGGAGAGCACGCACAGAAACGGTCTCGCTTGTCTAATTTAAGGTCAACGCGGTGCTGTAACGTTTGATACACTTGTCACATTGACACTGGCTGCAGGAAGAGGCCCACTATCGCGCGAACGAACGCACGAACGAACGAACGAACGGACGAACGGACGGACGGACGGTTTCGTGGGGCGTCGTTAAAGCGACGACTTTCCAACGCTGACCGTTTATCTAATGATAATCCGGCCCGATCCCTCTAATCTGACAGTCGGCGAAATACGGCCGGCCAGTTTCTCACACGTGGCCGGCCC